AACTCAAAAGAGAGAGAGAGCGCACGCAGAAGCAGATCATTACTGCACTCTGCTATTTGTCGCTAAAGCTCTTCAGAGTGAAGTGTGCTGCAGAGTCGCATTAAAACCTGACACCAATTCGGTCGAGGACAGTTTCTCCCACATGTACTCGAACTTCTGGGAGCACTCACCGGCCCCAAACGGATGCACGCTTTCCGATCACACACAGAGTAATAACATGATTTTTAGTAACGCTCTGAGCTGCAAATCATCTTCTCCACTGTCACGTAACTTTCGTCCGTTGAGCATTCGGATTTAACTCTTTGGAAAGTTGCCACTTTTCCCTCACAGCTCCCCTCTGAAGACGTACGTAGGAGTGTGTGAAAAAGTTATCAGGTACGCACACATCCCACCGCTCCTGTCATGTTAAAAACAATCTTCCAAAAAGCAGAAAAACTCCAGCGGAAAATAGCTGAGAGCTTAATCTGCTCTGGTGCCCTTGTGTTTTCCCGCTTCCTTGAGTGCTGTTAACTCTATGCCTCTGACCTAAAAACTGTGCTAATAAACTAGCTCCTTGTTTACTCAACCATCTTGTGATTTCTGTTTTTCACTCTGACAGCTGCTGGTTTTTATGTTCTGCCTTGGCGAGAGATGTGTAAACAGTGTGAGCAGCTCAGCGCTCGTTTGAAAATTACAGATGTACCTGCGAAGGAAGATGTTATTGATGTCAGGTTTAGTGCTCGGGATGCTATTTCCGTAATACTTAAAACTAAGGCAAAAAAACTAATCCCAGGTTTGAGCCAGCTGTGATTATTAAGGGAAATTGTGTTGCTAATCGCTGACAACAATACTGATCCGATTATATCATTAAAACCCACGGGGTAGTGCTCATGATATTAGCGCACATGCTGAGCTCTCTGATGAATGAATCAGCAGAACATACAAGTACGTGTCAAATCGACATCATTTACATTAATCACTATTTTGGGTGTAGGCTAATGTGGGAGGTACAAAGCTAAGAGGGGGTTTTGTGCACTGGATGGATGTAACCATAAAACAGCAAAGATCTCTCAGGTGGACTTAGAGAAGATGATAGTAGGGTGACCATATTCTGAAAAAGAGGACACGACTACGTAGGAGTCGTGGCGTCACATGAAGTTGATTTTGAGAGTTTTTCAGGTCATATAGCGCAGTGGTTCTTAACCGGGGTTCTATCGAACCCTAGGGGTTCGGTGAGTCGTCTCAGGGGTTCGGCGGAGCCTCCGCCACGGTAGCCTGGCTGGGCCGTCCTGTTGCGTCAATCACTTGATGTTCCTTCCTACCACAATCTGGATTTCGGCCCATAGAGAGTGTGTATTCCCAATCAGAAAATAACCGGGCCAATCAGAGACTGTGTTTCCACTGTTACCCGGACAACAGGGAAAGGCAGCCCCTGATTGGTCCATGTGTAGTGGTGACGTCTAATACATGCTGCGGGACTTTTCAAAGCCCTGTTCATTCAGAACACCGTTAATTCTGCAGTTGACTCTGCAAAGTCAGCAGAAATCATTTATATCAGCAGAGGACGTCGGATATAAACAATGTCTTGAATTTGGAAAAAAATCATATTTGATTTATCACTAAAGAAGGGTTCGGTGAATATGCAGATGAAACTGGGGGGTTCGGTACCTAAACAAGGTTAAGAACCACTGATATAGAGTGTTTTTTTATGTGCTTCTAACTCGCTAAGTCCACGTGACACAAACTCGAAACTTCCGTACAAAACCACAGACATTTGAAGGATTTTATAAACTCCCCCAGAAAAGCCGGACAGCCTCCCAAAAAGTGGTAAAAGAGGATGTATGGTCACCCTAAATATGACTGTACTGAACAAAAGTTTGTTTGACTTGAATATCAGAGAACCAACACGTTGATAAAGGAGCTGCAGGCAGACGGATTCATACGTCTGCAAAAATAAACAGACTTAAGTCGGACAGTCATGTCAGCGAAGGCCCAGTAAAGGTGCTAAGGATAGCATTAAAGGATGTATGGTCACCCTGATGAAAGGCATTATTATGTTATTGAAATAACATTGATGATCATCAACATGCCAGCTCATACCAGCTGACAGGTCAGCTAATAACCTTTCTTGCATCTAATTGGCAGATGTCACGATTGGTGTTCTTGGGCAGACCAGATCACGGGACAGCACGGACGTTTACCTGCACAGTTACGTCAGAGCTCAAAAGGAGATTTCAAGCACCAGGTAAGAATCAAATTACAGACTCCACTCATGAAGTGCCAACATGGCCTCCTTTCAAATCGTCACTGCAGCACTTACCCAACTCTTGATAAAAGTGGCTAACACTGTATGAAAAAAAACATCACTTTTAAAGCTCTGCACTTTCAGTACCTGCAGTTTGACACCTTTGTATGAGTTTAGGTCTTTTCTTCTCATGTCAAAGTTTTGTTACCGACATATTTATGCACTTTTGGAGCTTGCACCAAATGCTTGGTCCAGTTTCAGTCAGATTGAGGTGTACATATGGAGGGAAAATCTGTCTTTAAAAACATTACCCAGTTTGTTAATCTGAGAGACAATGTGAAGTTCAATTCACTGCTGTGTTTACATGTCCACTTTCAGTCAGAGTAATGCAAGTAACAGATTTGTTGAATGAAATATAAATGTACCGATAGCAGCAGCTAAAGAGGAGACAAAATAGCGTGTTTATATGTGTTTACTTGTTGACAGTGTGACTGTTATTGGATTTAAATGTTGGTTTTGACAGGCAGCGGCTCTCCGCTCTTTCTCAGACTGCATATGCCACAAACTCATGTAGATTTATGAAGCATCGACTAAGAAATTAAAACTTAAGCAGGATAAATATACTACATGAGTAAACTAGCTTTTAAAGGATTTCATAGACTCCCCTGGACAAGGCCGGATAGCCCCCCAAAAAGAGGACATGTCCTGGTAAAAGTGGCCGTATGGTCACCCTTGCTAAATCAATTGTGTAATTTGATTTTTAAAGACTTGATCGATTTCTTATCTGCAATAATAAGAGGTAGGATTCATGGCTGATTCTGCAGCTAGTTACCAACAGTTTGCTGTTGAGAGCTGTCATGTCATCCATCTTTAAATCTGTCTTTAACCTCAGCTAGAAGAAAATGGAGATATTCTAATTGCTGGGTTGTATTTTGCAGTTTTACTTTATGAATACCGACTGTGGCTGATGGGCTCTTGGTTGAAAGAAAAGATGACCTCTGTAATCATCACAATTTACCCAAGGTCCCCAAGTAATAACAGTCCTTTTTAAAATAAGCCTTGAATTACCTCCCCGTCGTTCACTCTTCCTCTTGAATTCATTGTGTCCACAAAGTCATGACCAAGCAGCTCTGTCCCTGTATGACCGTCCTGCCTGCCTGCTTTCGTGGTCAGGATGCCAGCAGCCCTCAGTCAAGATTGCGGTGTGTGTGTGTGAGATGAAATGGATAAAGACTATGAATAGAGATCCCATCTCCCCCTTAGCAAGAGCATGACACACAGATCCAGAGAGCTGGAGAAAAAAAAAATCTATAAATGCAAATGGTGTTTTGTAATCAGCATGGTCGCTGCAGGACACCAGGAACCTCATATTATAGCTCCCAAAGATCATTGGCTCATGAACAGGCGAGTGAGTGCAGCATCGATTTCTGGCTAATACCTCCATGTTGATTTGTTTATTCTAGGGGCTTTATTTGCTTGTCTTTGAGTGTTTGTGGATGCAAATCCTGTTGGTCGTCTGGACGATGACCTTGCAGGAATTCATGTACTCAAGGTCTAAAACCTTTGTGATGATTTAACATAGGATGACTCAACTTTAACTGTCTTTAATTGAAAATTCATGGCAGACAAAGAGTCTTATTGGCTCCGAGAACCTCTGAGTTCAGCGTGTGGGAGGTGTTGAACCGAAATCTCCTCTCCTGTTCCTGCCATTTATAATCAAAACAGGTACGATCGCACTGAAACGAACTCAAACCTCGATTTTATCTCGGTCGACTTTAACCTCTCAGTCTTTTTTAAGTGTCATCCTGAGATTTTGTGCATGAACTCACACACATTTACGGCAGATTGACACCATTCCTGCCTCCTGAAATCCTGAACTTGTGCACTTTGCTGAAGCTGCACTGAGACTATGAATAGAGTGTTCTTTTACCCGCAGCGAGAACATGACACACAGACGCACGGCGCTGGGAGAAAAAATCCATAAATGCAAATACTTCTGCTTGTGTTTATTGTGGTAGCTTCTGAAGAAGAGGATCTCCATATTGAAGTACAATAAGCTTGCTGCTTGATGCTCAGTCCAGTGGGTTTCACATCGATTTCTGAGAAATATCCTGGTAGTCGCTGATGTTCTTGTTCCAGGCTGTTGTTTACTGTGCTGTTTTTTTTCTGACTCGAAGAAAAGTTGCTAATACTCCCGCACCCAAAAAGAAACTTCCGGATTATCATTTTAATGGATTGAGAGTTTTTTTATTTGTGTTGCAACTTGACTCCGTTTGGTCCTTTAGTTGGAAAATGTTGTAAAAAGAGGTAAATGGAGTATGAACCAAAAAGGACAAAAGCTCATGAATCTTAAGTTTTCTCCATCGCAGGAACATTCCCCCGAGGGGCTGAGGACTTTAGAAGGAAGTCAGCGTGTTTCCATCACATGGAACAAGGTGTAATTTATATTTCACCCCTGAAAGGCTTTCTGCTCCAGGGATCAAACTTTTCAAAAGGTACAGGGACTCTGGGACAGGTATTGCAGCACTGAACAATCAGACTAGTTTCTCACACATAAACCTGTTTGTTTATCCGATCTTACTGGTCTTTCAACTTCGTCCAAGTCTCTGTGGAGGATCTGCAGCCTCTCAGTTTCTAACCTCATTATCCATAGAGCGATGTGAGTGGGCAGGGATGCTATGGTGATGAGCTGCTGCGCTGATTGGCTGCCCGCAATATAAGTATATTCATAAAGCTCAAATGTCAATGCGTGAGTGTATGAATCAGATCGGGGGGCTGACACCGAGGATTTCAGTTTATTGATGATTCTCAGATGAGTTTTTCCACATGAATGTAAAACAGCGTATATTTATCAGATATATACGGAGGCTGGAGTAAACGGCTGTGGAAAGGGATTCAGTGTTCTGTGAAGTAATGGAAATAACCTTAAAAAGTTCTTTTTACTTCAAATTCACCAGTGTTGAACTGAGTTAATGCAGTCAAGGAGCTTCGATACCTTCCTGATTTTGGAGAGTTTAAAGTAGAAGTAGAGTTGAATGTTATTTGCTTATAAGATACGTTTGGCAGGTAAAAGGAGAAAAGTATTGGGACCCAGGACAGACCCCTGTGGTACGCCACATGACATAAAACTCATGTGACGTAGTTCTAAACCACAGTTTGCTGTAAATGCATGATTTTGACATAAAAGGCGAGAAAATTAAAATAAAAATTTTTTTGCACTGCAAGAAATCCCATCATGCTTTGTGAGGGTAAAGCGGCGCAAATGTAGTTTCGCAGATTTTTTTTACTTTTCTTCATGACATTAAAATCTAAACAGTTACAGTGCTCAGCATAAATGAGTATACCCCTTCAGAGTTGTCAGAAAAAGTTTCCTTTTAAAATCAACATTTGCTACGTCAGACTATACAACAAAATATTCCTCCAAATGTAGGTCATTGATTGCAAACAAGATTTTTAAAGTCGCATAAAAAAAGAATTTATTTCAATTTAAAATCAGGATGCAAAAATGAGTACATCCTAATAAAAGTTCTAGGAGCAAAGCTAAATTTTAGGCACCGTATCACTCTTATTTTTATCTTATGGTAAATCAAATGTTGTGTTAAACTCTGCTTTGTCAAAACTTTGGAAATTGTACTTTAACTCATCTAGATATTGAGTAATACATTGCTTTTAATAGGGGGTGTACTGACTCATGCTGGGCACTCTATATCTTACTTTAAATACATTCCCTAATAGATAAGTACAGTTAAAAAATAACCGATAAGCTGCGTGTTGGAATAAAAGTTTTGCCTTTTAAAAAATACGCTCAAAAAAGAAGTTGTGAAATCGACCTTTTTTTTGGCGCGCTCAGAAGTATTGTCATCCAAATTCTCTCTTTGAAGTTATTCCTGTCTGCAGCACATTAATAGATAATACTAAGCCGAGCTCACTCTCCTTTTCTACATGCCAATTTTTCTATGGAAAGGAGGGAACTGTACTGTATGCGATGCATCATTCATACATCACAGAGAAATGAGATTCGAGAGTCTGATTGACGCATTTTTCGTCCTACTTTTAAAGTGAGGAGTGAAAAGGTTTCATCAGCTTTCTTTACAAATAAGACCTAAATGTGATGTCAAGATGATTTGGTTGAAAGGGGTAGCCGTTTAAAAGTAATGTAAGACTGAATACAATATACTAACAGGGTACAAAAGGGAGAGAAAATAACACCATCACTGCATATTCAATCACAGAGTGAAGATTCGTTTCTTTGTCGAGTTACAAAAGGGAAAATGTGACTCGAATCTCAGGCTGAAAGGCGCGAGGCAGCAGATACAAGAACCTGAAAGGAGGGTGGCTGGGTTCAGACCTGGAAGGGGAGGCTTTGGTGGAGATCTGCAGTTAGAGCCAGTTTAGGATCTGATCAGGCTGCCTTCTGGGCATCTTCCTTTGGAGGATATCCAGGCTCATCCGACACGATGAGGCTCCCTGGATGGGATGGTCGTATTCACCCATCTCCAGAAAGTGACACTTTAATTTTACTGTACAGGGGTGGGATTGGCATCTGATTTAAAAAGACAGAAACACACACACAACAAGCATACTGTTCATATCATGTCAATGAATTAACAAGTACCTGTTCAGCTCGGCAATAGAAAGGTGTAAGAAGTACGTTGAAGTAGAGTTGTTCCGATTCCGATACCAGTATTGGAAGTTGCTCCGATACTGCAGAAAATGCTGGCAACAGTACAAGCAAGTACTGGAGTTTATTTACAAGTTAGCTTTTTATTTAAAAATACTGTGGCTGCACTTTTTACTTCATTGAGTTCAATTGCATTTGCAGTTTTTTTTGTACTGTTCTATTTAAAATTAAATGGCTAAAATTTGCTGTTTTACAAAGACCTTACCACAATCATATCACAGCCATGCAGGTCTGGTATGATTTGATATGGTATGGTTTTTCTTTATATATAACGTACTGGTATTGGATCGGTACTCGGTATCGGCTGATACCCACAGCACAGGTATCGGAATCGGTGTCAGGAGGAAAAATTGGTATTGGAACGTCTCTACCTTGAAGCCATCCTTGAGTAAAAGTACAAATATCGCTCCAGAAAATGACTTTGGTATTGGTGAAAGTTGTTATTTAAAGCTCCTGTGAGGAACTTTTGGCTTGTGTCAAATTTGGCGCCCCCTGTGGACAAAGCAGTCTTTGCTTATTTGACAACAAAACTTATCCAACTTTATCATTCATTATGAATATTTAAGTTGGAATATGTGAAAACTTGGACCTACCCTCTCACAGTGTTTATCATTAGAAGGCAAAAACATGGATTTTACTTTATTGAATTACTGCTAAAAAACTTCTTAAAAGTGCTTTAAATGGGAGTCTTACAGTACTTAAGTATCACATGTACTGTGGTTTTAATTTTCCTTTTGATGTTGTTAAATGGACCAAATTTTAAAGGATGCGTTTTCATGACCTCCTAAAACAAACAAAACCATCCGTGAGAGAATTGATATTTGTATATTAGAGTAGGTGTAAGAAACAGTCCTGTCCTTTTTTTTGTATTAAATACTCAATAAATGATAAATTAGTCCTCCAAAAGTTGGTAGGATTAGTTTTTTTTCTGTTAAAAGTTCCTCATAGGAGCTTTAAGTATTAAAAATAAAAGTAAAAGTACATTTTGTTGTTAAAAAAAAAAGTGTTCAGATTATATATAATTACAAACATTTATTTCTAGATGCAAAACACCAGTTTTAGATATTCAGAGGCCTAAGACATAGACTTCTGTGAGTGAGCAAATTTAATGTGATGAGTTATATAAATAAGCACAAACACACTGTAAAAACCAGTACCGGCTCATTATCTCTTAGAAAATAAGTGATATAAGAATTTAAAGTTTACACACCTTTATAGTTCATCGTAGCTAGATTGAATATATGAATAAGTGTATGAATAAGTATGCTGGTATGAACTATTTTGCTTTGAAATATTCACCTGCAGCTTTAAAATCTCAAAGTTATCTGCATTATTTATCTCTGTCTGTGTTGTACCTGGACTTGAACTCTCCAGATGAAGGTGCGAGAACTCCCCCCTCAATATTAATGGAGCTGGTTTCTCTGCACAGTGGGTAAGTCAATATAAAGCACTCTGGTAAAACTTCAGGGTTTGGGCGAAATTTGATTCGGAAAGCTTCCTGCAAGGTGCTGCGTAAGTGAATTAGATCCAAGAAAGGAGGATTAGATTAGATAAGGGTAAACATTTGAACTGTTTATCCAATAATAACATATTTTTCCCTTGATAACTCTCAAAGTTTAAGGTCTAAAAAGGTTTAAATCCTGTCCTCCAGTTTGCCTGGATTCACTGATAAATAGAATATGAAGGAGATAAAAAGCTGTTTTCAAGCCACATATAAAATATGAAATATTCCCTTTTTATAAGCCATTGTAATATTTACTAAAGGCTGAAAGTATTAAAATATAAATCCACAGTGACATTTACCTTATGATGCCAAACTAATGAGATGAGAAGGGAATGAGGCTGTGTAAAAATATGGCTTATAAAAAGTGTTAACAAATGTTACATGATTTAGTCCAACACTCTTTAAGCCAAAACATTATTTCACTTATTTTTTTACTGGCTGAGTGTCAGCTCAACTACATTCATGGATTATTTATTACCACGGCACACATCCTCGCTCTCCTCATGCTCGCCCATAGCTGGCATGGATGTAAGACATGATTAGCCGGCGCCGGATGAAGCGCTCCAGACAGCCCACAACATTTGCATTCAGTTAGTTGAACAGATGTCATATTAAATGTGCCAAAGTGAGAAACTTGATCAAGAATGGAGAGCATTCACTGACCTAAAATGTTTAAGCAACACAAACAAGAAGGAATCATTATGTCGAAAAAGAAGTTTGAATATTTCTTCAGTCGTTTGACGAATGAAATACGACTTTACTAACAAATTTGACGATCAGCGGACTTCTCAATCAGTATGAGGTAAATAATTTTGTCAGAGGAGGAGTAAAAACTAAATTTTTAGCATCTCTGCAATAAAAAAAAAGACCCAAAACAAGTGTGATTATTTTTGCGCACTGTTTACTGCAACCCCTTACTGGCTGGCATCCCGAGGCTAGAGAAAGTAGGGTGACCATATCCTGAATCCCCCAAAAAAGGGACACTACTATGCAGGGCGGAGTCATGCGCTGAATTTTGAGTGTTTTTTTTTTTCACGTGCTTCTAACCTCTAATTTCCACTGCATCCGGAACGGCTACGAAAAGGCTATATCTGCCGATCGTAACCATTCAAGTTAACGTGTCAATTTCCACCGTCTTCTTTCCGTTCCTCTGCGGATCGTCAGACTCCGCAGCCAATCGTCAGAGTTCTATTTTTTTCCAGATGCCGAAGCATGCCGGATAAATTCAGCACAGATTAACTCCTGCTGGAAAGGAAGTCGGGCACAGACACAAAATAAAATTTCTTTTTAAAATAAAACACTCCGATTTTCAGGCGACATTTCATCCCGATGACACCATGGATGAGGAGATGCCAATTTTATAAAAATATAAGTAGATTTCCTCTTCTGGAAGGACACAATCTACGGCTTATATGGTTAGCCTATGTGGCTAAAGACAACTTGTTCTCGTATGATTACACGTTGTGAGTTCTCGCGATTCCTGCTGTCCGTAATCCGCCACAAAATCTGCCTCACAAATGGATCCGGTAGGAATTGGGGTAAGGCGAAAATCGCTGCCATTCCGGATTGGAGCCGTTTCGGATGCGGTGGAAATCCTGGGTAACTCAGTTAGTCCATGCTACACAAATTCCATACTTCCATACAAAACCCTTGATATTTGAAGGATTTTATAAACTCTCCCCGGACAGGCCGGACAGCCCCCTAAAGAAGGACATGTCCGGGTAAAAGAGGACACCCTATAGAAAGGACAACACCAATAATTTACAGATCCTGGTGAGGGCAGTGTGTGTTTTTTGGCAGCATTCAGAGTGTTTGTATGTGATGGATTCATGTTGAAATGGAAACAGAAGTAATGACTATAAAACGGGGCTGATTCAGCAGCCGGGCCGGTGTTGTTTAAATGGTGTCGGACAGGACGTGTTCACATTCGATTTCCCTCTGCCCGATGTGTTTTGCATTAAATCCACACAAACATCACAGGTAATTACAGTCCTGCCTCCAGGGGAAGGTGAATAAGAAAATCTCAACTCCAGCGCTGAGAAACAAACACCCTTAATGCGAAACATAACATCATAAAATCAACCTCAAGTTCGAAACAGCACAGTGGAGATCAATAACGCTGCGTTAAAAAACTCATCCTGCTGACTTTTGACAGTCTAACATCTCATTTTCTGCGAACATCGAATGTGGAAATTGTAAAACAGCTCCACTGACACCTAAAAGGCATCATTGAGGATTCAGGTCTGTTTCATAAACATCCAAAAACTTCTCACAGGAACTTTTAAAGCATGTATTAAATTTTACTCATTACCACAGCATAAAAAGTTACAGCTGAAAATCCTTTTCTTCTTCTTTTCTTTGGTTAGAGTTTGTTTCCTCACTGATAGATGTGTCCGGCTGAATCACGATCTTGCTATGCAGAGTTTGCATGCATATTTTCCTTCGGGTTACCCAGACTTCCTACCTCTGTCTATCCAAAAGACAGGATTGTTGAGTTAAACGCTGCCTCCAGCCTCTTCTGCAACCCCTAACAGGATAAGTGGTGTAGATTATGAACGGATAGATAGATGGATTGATGGATGGATGGTTAAACAAAAGATGAAAAGTCTGGGATTACAAAAGCAATATCTGAGGTGGGGAGGCTCAGATGTGGCGGCAATAACCAGCCTACGAAAGTCCCTTCAAAACCAAAAACGCTGACCTCACGTTGCCACTGGAGGAAGAGCGAGGGATCACAAAGGTCATTGGGATCCATCGCCTGGGCTAGCATGTATAGAAACGCCACAAGGATTCATCTTTTCATCCTTTTTAGCCTGGACTGAAGCGGAAAAGTGACATTATTGGACGTCCAGATCAAATTTGTCGAGATTGGTGACAAACTGGCAGGTCTGTTTGCTCGGGGATGTGGTTTGGATGTTTGTTGGCGAATTGCAAAATAAGAACACTGAAAGGTTGATATCATTTCCAACATAATTGGCAAGATGGCAAACCTAGAAAAGTATGAGGCCTACTTAGAAAATAACAGTTATTACACGTCAAGATGAACTCCAATGAGCTTTTGGTCAAACTGGAGAAAGATCAAGATCTTCGCCAAAAACCTCAAACCAAACAAAACCTCCTTCGCATTCTGTCACGCACCAGATCCCAGCAGAAACATATCTGTCTGCGTTTCTTTGAACAAAGGAGGTAAACAAACGGATGTGAGGAGGGTATCAGGTGACCCACGCGGACACTGGCCGTCACTTTAAAGCAAACACAGCCTTTGAACCGTCTGTGGGAACATGCCGTTGGTACTTTGTTCCCAGGACTCCTCCAACCTGCCAGCTCGGTTCATCTGACGGCGCAGGTTTGTGATTTATCGTGGCGTTTCGCAAGGTTAAAAAGTTATGGCTGACTTACAGCTCCTCCTCCCGTATTAATTGCACAAACAGAACGGTGTGAGGGGAAGAGATGGGTCCTGATATTCCCTGAAGTTGCACCGATCAATCAATATTGATCAAGAATACCTTGATATATGGCAACAGCTCCTGCCCGGGACCTTGGCTAGCTTGAGTGATGATGGCATCTCGAAATGGCTGTCTTTAAAACAACCCCTCTCCCTCCTTCTTTCTGTAAAATAGATAGTACAGGATAGCAATCTGAAGCAAGCACTCACACTTAGAGGCACATCCACCCTCTGATTGTTTCCCCCCTTTCATTCTGTCTTACTTTCTCTCCTCCAAACGGCACTTTGTCTCAGCGCCGCACAAAGCCGCGCTCTCGTGGATCTTTTTCCGTGCGGTCGGCGTGATGAATAGGAAATGAAATCCATATGCTTCTGTCAATAGCATAGCCGCCAACACAGCTCTGCAGCCATTGTAAGTGGCTGCACCGCGGGCGACGCGCAAGCTAATGAATAGTGCAAGCAACCAAAACGGAACATTACTCCATAACCGTGCCATAAATGAATAAACATGAGGCAGAGAGCGGGAATGAAATGTTTACTCATAAAAATCCTGTTTCACTTAAGCACATTTTGGGATTTTCACCCTGACACTTCAATTTAACTGGCTGGCTTTTATTTAAATCAAATCAGAGGGAAGGAGGAAAAAAAAATTGGCAGAGAAGAGGCTGAGGAAAAAAAACAACACATCAACACACACACGGCTATTTCCATACAATCACATGACCACACGCATGCACACACAGTCAAGGGCAGAGGGGAATTAACAGCAGGCTGAGGCAGGTCTCTCTCCCTGGATGCTTCCAGCTATTTCAGGAGGCTATTTCAGGTCCTCTGTCTTCCTCCTGCGTCTCCTCTCTCCAAAGATCCATCTGACTGCAGCTGAGGGAGGGCAGAGGAGTATTTTTAACACAAGGTCCAAACAACACCTTTTTTTTATTTTTCTTCAGATATACCACAGCTCACAGTTTACAGCTCACCGCAAAGCGAGATGGCGAACGGGTCGGTTAAATTTTAGCATTTAGCCGCAAAAATGACACAAACATCTGAATAAGGACAGATCAGCGGGATGATTGCTCTTTAATTTTTAATCTATATATAAACATGACAAGCAGGAAGGTAACAGACTGTACCCAAAATGCGTCACTGCAGGGGAGTTACCCTCAGATTAAATGGCGTCGATTGAGGGGTAAGCAGACTCGGCTTTTTGGCTGTTTCACATTAGTTTAATTTCATCATCAACTCCTTATTGTCTCTTTTATTTCTTTTCCTACATATTATCTCTCTGAATGGACTTCTCATGAGATCTTAATGGTCTATTCAAACAGGGAAAAACCTCACGTTTATGTTGTTTCCACCACCGCTCAATTGAATTATGTCAGGGGAATCCAGCGTCTGCAAAAAGAACGACTATGACGGCTAACTCGCTCGGGATCGTCTTATTCTGGGAGGATAGATTAAGCGTTTCAGCTCATATGTTGCTGACATCTGTGTTTCACTATTACATCTTGATAAATAACATTATGGCGTACAAAAAGGAATGAAATCTGCTACGTCGTGTTCCTCAAATGTCCCGAGATTATTAAATCAAACGCTTGCGATTGAGGGAAATGATGAGTGCTGTGTGTGCGGTGAGGTAATGAGCAGCAGTGTCCTCTTCTCTGTGACTCATGGCGGCTTGTTTAGACATTAGGTTGAAACTCGACAAAAGATAACTCTTAACTAACATTTTCCTTCCACTCGCGTGTTCTTGGGGCGCTCTTACATCTCCTTAAGGCACGAGTCTTCAACCAGAGGCCTCTAAGGATCTGCACGGTTTCTTAGCTGATGGTAGGATGGTAGTTCACCGGTCTCCACTGGTACCATGGCCGCCTTCAGTTCCCACATTTCCTCCAGCTCTTCTGGACTTCTGGATTTGGAAGTCCCATTTGGTCTTTGCTTGGTCATTCTTAATCACCTTTGGGGGTATCTTCCATCTAGACCCTTGAACCTCCAGCCAATACTTGGTCCAGATATTTCTGTAGACTCTTCCTGAGGTCCTTCCTGGTGTGGTAGACCCCAAGCTCTGCTGAAAGGAAGATGATTGAGATTGTTAGCTCTTTCTCGATTCTGTGGGTGATGGTGCATCGGCGTTCTTAGTTGGTGGAGCGATTTGTCTGGTTAATTCTGATAGTTAGTAGTTTTAGTAGTTTTTAAGTGTCTTAACGGTCTTGGCACATCTTATTTATCTGAACTGCTTTTATCTCATCAACCCTCGCATACCCTGAGGTCCTCTGGCACCGGCCTTTTAGTTGTTCCTCGGACAAAAACCAAAACTTACGGAGAGGCTGCCTTCAGCCATTATGGCCCAAAGTTACGGAACAGCCTGCCAGAGAACATCAGGACCGCAGAGACTGTCGATGTTTTTAAAAGGAGGCTCAAGACCCACATTTTTAGTTTAGCTTTCAGCTGATTTATCTGTTTTAGTTTATTTGATCCTTTACTTCTATCACATTTCTATGTCATTTAGATATTTTAACATTATTTTAATTCCTGTACTCTACCATCTCTTAGTCTTTTTAGCTCCAGTGTTTCCTCGTGGGGCTGCTGTGCATGCCTGTATGTGTTAGTATGGGTAGGCTGGGACGGGTTATATACTTCTTTTATTGCATTATATTTGCCGTTGTTTGTTTTTATCTTTTTTGCAAAGCACCTTGTGTTGCAGCTTGTATGAAAGGTGCTATATAAATAAAGTTTGATTTGATTTGATTTGATTAGTGTTCAACTTCTTAGACGGACCGGTGGCGTTCAGCAATAACAGTTCTGTGATGCCCTTAGATGTCCGGGGCGGCACTAACGCCACACAGATCATCTAACCTGCTGAACCCCACTCATGATAGGGATTGGTGATTGCGATTATTTCCCATGAACGAGGAATTCCCAGTAAGCGCGGGTCATAAGCTTGCGTTGATTAAGTCCCTCCCCTTTGTGCACACCACCCGCCGCTACTACCAATTGGATGGTTTAGCGAGGTCCTTGGATCAAACTTGACTATGTAGAGGAGGTAAAAAGTTGTAACAAAGTTTCTGTAGATGAACCTGTGGAAGGATCATTAACAGGGAAAACACGTAGATATTCAGAATAGATGCTGACGGCACAGGCCTGGTGCCAGTCAATTAAATTGCTGCCTCTATTAATAAGCCAGATTGATCAGTCTAATTTGATACAACATCAGACCACCTGTTGTTCTAGAAAGTGGATCAAATCTTGCATGTTCAACCAAGTTCTTTCCAATCAGTTACCCCGTACTCTTATCATTTATCACCGTCTCAGTTTTCGACAGAAATAAAAACTCTTTTTGGGTCACAGTCACACCTAGTTCTCAGTAACACCCCTCAGCGGATAGTCTCAGAAGTCATCAGTCACCGCTCCTCATGAGGAGTCTCATCACACATAAAAACAGACGCCGGATAGAAGCACCTGGCAGCTGACGCCTGGAAGGACACAGCTGCTTTATGGAGCTCTGCCACTTCTTCACATCTCCCTGTGGGCTCTGTGACAAGCTGACCAGAAAAGAGGAGAACGGGACGTATTGATCAGAAGCTAAGAGTAGAACAGAGTCACTCGGAGTATCAAACCCAGAGGGGGAGGACAGGAGAATTGGCACTTTTCCCCTGTGAGTGTGAGGCACTCTGGTGGGGTCTTTTGTCTCGGGTCTGACAGGGCCCCTCGGTGCCTCATTACAGTCAGCCCTGCCTGTCCCTGAACTGATGTTTTTAGCTGGGACACCCCTGTCTTTCCTCAGGCTCTTGAACCAAACGACTTGCTCTAAAGGAGAGATTTGGAGAGAGTAAATGTTTGGCACCTCCGAGTTCTTTGTCTGTCTGTCCGTCTAATCTGCTTTACATTTCTTGTGGATTAGGAACAAAGGGAGCCATGTTCTTGTCTCGGAGCTAATCACCATTCCTGTATTCACTGTAGCTCTGGAAGGAACAAAAAAACCCTCATTTCATTTCATTTTCAAAGCGGCGGCTCTACAGCACCTTGCTTCGGTAATTGTTACCCTCGGAGAGCTGCCAACAGGTTTGATGCTCTGCCAGATTAGCTGTGTGTGGTTTGTCTCTCGCTTGGGCCCACCTTGTACCCGGCCTCTCGCCCAGGCCTATGCTGGCACTGGCCCCTACCATCTGTCACAAACTTGGGCCTTGAACATCTACCGCCTTATCCCTGTGTGAAGAAAGAAAACAGTAATTCCTGCACAGAGAAATAGTTGGGTAACAAGCGAAGGAGCTGAGCGAGACGAGCCAGAACAAAAAGTTTCTCTGTGTCTATTTTGGAAACCTCACACCGCTTCACACAAATCTTTGAAAAACACATGAATTTATAGATACCGCGTCAAGGAACGGTCCCTACTGAACTATTTCCTTGGTAATAACATGGGCTGACTGGCCGTTGGGAGTACAAGAAGGTGAGCCACCACATAAATTCAACTTGTCTACATCCAAGCCCCAATTATCTTCAGCGACACGGCACGGTCGGTTTTCCCTCCCATCTGTGGATTTTAAAATCATGTCAACGCTGACCTAGCTTGTGGTTGTGACCCATTTCTCAATGTTGAAAAGCTGAAGACAGAATAAAAAAGTAGACACATCAAAATGCTTGTAATTCGACTGTAGTCCAGCGAAAAACACCAGCGAGGCTTTTATTGTATTAAGAGGACTACAAAGAGTTTTGATAAGAGGGTTAAGGTTAAGACTGTTTTTAATCACTCTGTCGATATATTTAAAAAAAAAAAACCTCTATTCTAATTAACCAAAGTCCTCAAAGAATTAAGTCTGTCTGATAAGCTTTGAGCTTCATTACAAAAGGACTCAATAGAGGAAAAAAAAAAACACACTAAAGTGAATTAAGTAGCTGCTCTACTGTCTAATTTAAATTCCATTCCTGCGCCGAATCCAGAACCAAATCCCAGACAGAAGAATACAACATAAAAACGCCCAAACTAAGTGTTAAGGTGCTAATTATCTGTTTGACATGATCAATTAAAAGGTAAAAGTTTGCTGTTTGTTTTCTAACTATCAGGTTTGTTTGGAGACATTTTAACTCTGTTTTGAAAGCTGTCAGCTCCAAAAATAGGAAGTTAATGACATATATTTTCAGTCCTTGGTTCAATCTGCAAATTTGCTCCAAAATATTAAAGTTATTGCAGATTACAGACACTTTCTCTTACTCTTACTCTCTTACTCTTACTGTCTCCACACACCAAGCAGGAGTAAAATCATTCGCGCCAATGAATTACATGTAAGGTCAATGCAAAGACGCGTTTACATATACAAAATAAATGTTAATGTGTTAATTATCTGTCTGATATGATCAATTAAAAGGTAAAAATCTCATCTTTAAGTTTGCGGTTTGTTTGTTTGTTAATTATTAAGTTTGTTTGGAGACATTTTAACTGTTTTTAATTTCGTCAGCTCCACAAACAAAGTACTTAATGAGATGTATTTTCAGTCTATTGCTTCAATAAAATAATTGGCCTCCCTTATCGAAACTTGGGGGAGTTCTTCTATCAATTTTTAGTAATTATTCAACACTTTGTAGCTGCTAATGTTGTAATAATCAAAACAGTTAGTTACCACTGTGGCAAATATGAATTTTTGAGTTATTTAACTTGCATGACAATTTAATGTTATTTCGCTATTAGACGTCTGGTTTATCTTTTAGACCTAATTTCAACCATCTAGATTCTGTATATTATTAGATGGAATTCAGACGTTGCACTTTGACCCATTATTTAATAACTATTTATTTCAAAAAGCAACTGCATAATAGATCTCCAATTACTTAACCAAAATACTTATGGTAGCCGTTAAGCAATATACAGTGTGGTATAGATATAGCCCAGATTTAGACTTGGTCTAATTTTAGATGTCTAAAGAAAAACTTTCATTTTAGGCCTGTGGTAGCCTGATTTTAGACCAGTCGTCTAGGCTACATTTAGACGTCTATTAGACCTCTTTTAGACCAAAAAATGCTCAGTGGGAAGTAGTAATGAACCCATGTATAATCGTAAATATACATAAGACCATGGGTTGTAAAAGATTGATAATTTTATATTATTTTAGTCAAATAAAAAATGTATCACTACTTTGATGACATTTCTCTTAAAGCTGCAGTGAGACAATTTTTACATTATAAATGTTACTGCCTGTAATTGTTGTGAGGGGTTAGCTCCACTGAAGGAACAGCCTGTAAATATTCATAAGGCGTCACTTTCACTGTAAACAAACAGGAGGAGATTTTTTTGTCAATTAAAGCGACTTTCACAAAGACAATACAAAATCAGCAATAATCTTACAGTTATTACTTTGTCCACAGGGGGCGCCAAAGTCAACACAGACTGAAAGTTCCTAACAGGAGTTTTAAGTAGCAGTAAAATCTATCAATCTACTCAAATAAAAACTTGAAAACAGATGTAGACATCAGGAAAATGTTGGTTTGAATTGTCCTTAGATCAGGTTTATTTTTAAACCTGTCATGTCAGTGTGACGGTTATTAAGAAGAGCAACACCTGACACGTCTGTCTCCAAAAGAGTGACATAAAGACAGTTATTATTCGAAAGTCTGACGTTTTTGACCGTCTGCAGGAAGGTCAGAACATGGGACCTCACACAAGCTGTAGTTGGCAGACTACAAGGACGCTTGAGAGACAGCAGACGGTCTGGAAAGGCACTTGAGGAAAGGGCAAATGTGTCAATGATATTGTCTGCTGCACACACACACGGATCTATAGATACTCAACCTCCCGTCCCCCATCTCCCACATTACACCAAAAAGCACCTTTCAGGGCAGCCACACCTGCTTGTCAAAGCTGCGGTTTGAAACCACCTGATCACTGGTGCAGATGGATGCTCATGGACGACCCGTTAGCCTGGAGGGGAAGAGTGAGAGCAGAGGGGGGTGATGTAGTGATCG